CATCAATTTCTCAAAAAGGCCCCAATAATGTAATTAAAGTTAACTGTGTCCAGAGGCATTTCCTTAGAAAGGGAACCGGACAATAGAACTAAAGGGAGTTCTCAGTGGAGGAATTTCTGAGGAAAACCCTTGGATCTTTGTTGTTGTTACTTGCTATAGAATCAGTGTCAACTCATGGTGACCCCAAGTGTGCAGAGTAGAAGTGCCCCATAAGTTTCTCGAGGTTGTGCCTTTTGGGAAGTAAATAGCTAGAACTGGATTCAAAGGAAGCTGTGGACATGTAAGTATCACAAACCTTTGGCTAGTAGTCAAGTTCTTGACTATTTTTACCACCCATGAACTCCCTGGTATCCTTATCCCCCAGGCTTTCTGATCAAAAGGAGGCATTACTGCTTAATGAAGGCAGTAAATCTCACTAAAATCACCTCTTTGGTTGCATAAAATCTAACTACATTTGCTTGAGTATTCTGCTCAACTGTTCTATAACTGAAATGTTTCTCTCTTTGCAGGGATAGGGTGCCTCAAGCCAGTTCTGCAGGAAGTTCTCACACTCTCACCCTTTGAGAGATTATACAAAATTGGTGATTCCATTGAGCTAACCTGCCCCAAAGGCCTTGTAGTTGCTGGGCCATCGAAGTACACATGCAGTGGGGATTCCTGGACACCACCCATTTCAAACTCACTCACCTGTGAGAAAAGTGAGTAGCAGCTCAAGATCTGGCTATCTGCTGAGGTGACACAAGAGTAGAAGTATATCATCTACAGTAATACTACTTCTTAAGTATGTTTTGGGGGATAAAGTAATAGATTACACTGAAAGGCTATATATTCACCTTAAATAAAGGTGAATAAAGGATATATTTCACCTTAAATAAATAATGAGGTCAGGCAGAAAATGGGGAATTATTGCTACAGCGGATGTTTTCAACTCTTGTCTATAGAGGTGAGTTCAATGTTCCTTTCCAAAATAAAACTTCAATATTTTGAGGAATCCAAGTTCTTTCTTCTAACAAGATCAGAAATGATAGTTAACTACAAATTTTGGGTAAAGTGGAGAACCATTAAAAAAGCAGTAAACATGTTATTAAGAATTTTTATTATTAAGAATTTGAACTTAATCTAAAACATAAAAATTGTATTTTCCAAAAAAAAAAAAGAGGTATTTGTCAATTTTCCAATATAGGACAAAGGTCGTTTATTTCCTGAGCAGTTTCTTTACTTGAGTTCCAAAGCATCTTTCTCAAAAAAAGCACACTCATAATTCATCATCTACATTATCTAATATCAGTTTCTCTAAAACAATGGTTTTTAAATCCAGATGGGACACTTCTTCAAAAATACTTCTGACCACAGTGC